AACATTCTTGTGAGGGCCCTTCTCTGATTGTGTCAGCTATTCTTTAAAAACCACTCCTTGTTCCGCTCTTATCACTACTCCAATTTGCTATTGAGGCTTTCCTGATTTCCAGCCAAGTCCGTGTTTAGCCGTAATTATTGTTTTGTTCCCCTTAGCCTGCGCAAGATGCAGTGTTTCAAGCTGGGAGCACTCTGGGCGCTGCATTTTGTGCGACAGCCGCACAAGTCCCCTCCCATACTGTGTCCGACGCTGTGAGCTGGTATCATCACTCCACTGTAATTATCCTCTTCTTTTTTTTTTTTTTTTTTTTTTTTTCCTTTATTTTACCTTTTTCAACAGCAACTGGAAGTAAAACCCAGCGCTTGACCCGTGCGTGGTTTGTAGTCTCGCTCAGATGTGACTCTACTGGGAAAATTAGGCTGGGGTTGTCTCCCTGGTTTTGGTGTTGCTGCCTTTATCCTCTGCTAATGCACTGATAGTTCATTACTATCATTTTTTATATATTTATATATAAAATATATAAATATATTTATATATTTATATATTTATATATTTATATATTTATATATTTATATATTTATATATTTATATATTTATATATTACGAGGGGCAATTTTGGGCTCAGACTGTCCATCCAAACCACCCTCAGCACTTTCCCTATAAGAACTGCAGCTATTCTGTTTATTTCTCACAGGTTTTCCCCATTTGCCGTTGGCGGGAGCAGAGCTCCTCACCCCCACGGGCAGCGTGGCACCCCCCCCGTCCTTGGAGGCGCTTCGAATGGGCTCGTAAAAATCTTAATTTTTATCAGAAGTTTTTCCACTAGTAGCAAGCAGACTACTTGTAAGAAAAATAAAATAATAATTAAAAAAAAAAGCTATCGAATAGAAGCAATACCTATGCTCTGGGACTGGATGGATACCTTTAGCAGGTGGCAGGCTCGTGTTAAGCAACGGAGCTGGCCTGGGCATTTGTGAGAGCCGTGAAGTGGATCTTTCCCGGTAATTTTGGGGAGATCCTGGTGATAACGGGGGAGAGCGCTGCTGCCGAAACGGCGTGGTGATTCTCAGCAGAATGGGGAAAGCTGAAGCTTCCCCCCGTTAGGCGGTGCGAGGAGGTGAACGCCGGCCGTCGCCTCCCTTGCTCCGCTCCGCCGGGGCGCGGGTGGTCGTGTCGGGTGCTCTCGGGGGACGGGGCAGCCCCTCGGCGGGGCTTTCCCCCCACGGCGTTCGGGGTGAAAATTCACCCCCCCCCCCCCCAAGCGGGAGGTGGGGGGGGTGCGGAGGTCGAAGCCTGGAAGAGGGAGCTGGAACGGCTTCGCTTTGATGCTTAACCCCCCCGGTAAAAGCTTTGCTCTGCCTTGCTGCGGGAGTGCTGGGGGACGGCGCAGTTTTACGGCGAACCCATCAAATCCAGGGACGAGGGAAATCAGAAAGCGCGAGTGGAATAAGGCAGTGAAAAGCCCCATAAACCAACTCAAAGCACTGGGAGGTGCCGGGCGCGAGGGCGTCGTGATCGCCCGGGTTGGGTTTGGACAACCGGGGCAAGCTGGGGCGGGAGGTGGCTCTTCCCTTCCCGGGGGGGCTCCGCGTGTGACCCGAGGGGACAGCGAGTGTCCTGGGCATCGACCCACCGCCGGGGCCCCCTCCCTGCCGCCGGCCCGGCGAGAGCCGCGATTCCCCAGGTAATGGTGCACGAGAAACAGCCGAAAGGGGGGGGCGGGAGCAGGGGGACAGATTAACAGCTCTGCGAGCGGAGCAGATGCCAAGGCAGAGTTGTTTCGTTCAGAACTGGAAAGTTAGATTTTTTTTTTTTTTTTTTTTTTTTTTTTTTTTTTTTGGAAACGCTGATGACATTTGGTTTATCGGTTCTGTTGAGTGCCAAGTGAAAAGCAGCTGGGAGGTTTTAATTTTTATTTTTTTTTTTTATTTTATTTTTTATTTTATTGGCTCATTCTGCCTAAACCGCGGGGACGGGAACTGAGACATCTGGGGATTTGCTGTGTGGCTCTGGGCGGGGAGCTCCTGCCTCCCGTGCCCATCCCCTGCCTGGGAGCACATGGGCATCAGATCTTCCCTGAGAAAGTAAATCCCTGTTTTTACTCGTTTTGTTTAGTTTATCCCAGAGAAGATGAGGGTGATATGTCCAGGTCTTGGCCAGAGCAGCGATGTGGGGTGAGGGATGGCTCCTTGAGTTGGCATTTTGTTACGTGCTGTGGCTGGAGGGAGAGGCTGGGTCAACCCAGGAGGAGGAGGAGGAGGAGGAGGAAGACGCAGGCTCCCCCTGAGCCTGGTCCCAGGGTAGGTCTGGGGTAGGTGAGAAGGATGTAAAGGAAGATCTGAGATTGCAGAGGAAGATGTGTTGGATTCAGGCTTGTACTTTCTCGGATGGCCCATGCTTCTCTTGAGTCGACACCTGGGTTTGTTTTTAATCCCAGTCTTAAAGTCAGAAATGCTGAGGGTGGACTGGACCAGGTCACGTCATGAGAAAAAAGGAAAAAAAAAAAAAAAAAAAAAGAAAATGGCCAGTGATGGAGTAGCCTGCCTGGTGTCAGTGATGCCACTGTCAGCTGGTGCTGTGAGAGGTGACAGTGCGGTGGAGGTGCTACTGCACCGTCAGCAGGCAGCTTGTTTGGCCTGATTTAAGAAAAAGCAAGTCACTGGTACTCTATTCTGCATTTTCCCTGCATTCCTCCAGCAGATACTGAAGTCTGCAAAATGCAAAGCTCCCCCAGCAGTCACCGAAGCCTCCGCTTTCAGCATTTATCCTGCACTTGTACCTCGCAAAAAACTGCCTTGAGAGTTTACGCTGCCCCTGGCTGTCGCGGTGTTGTGGTCGCTCGTGTTTTTATTGAACGCTTGTTGCTTTCTGTAAAAGGGAGAAACGCTGGTGTTTTGTCACTGGAATGTAAGTGCTCTTCTCTAAACGTCACGTAAACCGTTTTTTCCTCCTCCCTGGAAAGTCCTTGACGGCGGGGAGGGGATTCCTGCACCTCTCTGCATCCTCCCATCACCCTGGTTTTCATGGAAACGTGGAGCTCTGTGGGGGGACGGGGGGGTCGGGCGGCCGAGCACCCGTCGTGCCGCGGGGCTGGAGCTGCTGGCAGTGCTGGGTGCAGGTCCGGGGGTCAGCCGAGGATAACGCTGTCTGCGGGGCCAGGGGGACGCCTGCCAAGCAATTAAAGTAATCCAGTGGCCTGGCAGAAGAAGGGAATTTAATCTCGAAGTGGCTTCAGCTTTGGCTGCCCCGTTGCCAGGGGTCTGCTGCGCCAGCGTTCCCGCGGCGAGCTGGACAAGCCGCTCCGCTGGATCTGGCTGTCCTCGCTATTGCTTGGGAAAAAAAAAAAAAAAAAATATAATAAATATTTATCTCTGTCCCCGCAGGCTGCAAGGAAGCTCTGCCATCAAATGTTAGTGCACGTTATTGACTGGACTGGGATCTGGGGACAGAAAGTGTCTGGCTCTGTATGGCTGAACGACAGCGTTTATGTGCGCAGCATCTTGCTCCGTGTGCAGGGCAGCGGCGGCCTTTTGGGGAAAAGCAGGAGGGTTGTGGGTGGTGTCACAGTTTGTGGCCCTGGTGACACCCTGCTGGGATGTTCTGGTAACACAGGAGGTGGCAGGAGGGAATCTGCAGAGAGCCGCCTCGTCCCGCTGCTGGCAAGTGGGTTTTTAGTCTTCGACTTGTTTTCTTGGTACCAAAATATATTAAATTCTTGGGTTTATTTTCTGAGTTGTTGAGGACCGTTTTGGGATGCCTTTATGTGTCCGTTGGTGTGTTACAGATGGCAAGAGGCGGAGTGTTGCTGACACCCTTGCTTTCCCAAGGTGACCTCCTGTGTCAATTTGCATGAGCCTTCTTACGCTGAGGTTCTTAATTGGCGCTGGAAACGCGCGCTGTGCGACGTGACGGTCGGGCATCATCCCGCCTCCAAATGACAGGGGAAACAATTGGCATTCTGTCAAAGCGGTTTCAGACAGCTCCTTACACTGTGTCTGTGAAAAAATCTTGGAGTGGGTGGGTCAGGGGACAGGCAAGAGAATTATATAAATCTGGGGGGAGAGAATTATATTGTCTAAATGTCAGATCTTTAATACGACGCTGTAGCTGTTGCTGTGTGATGTTGAGGAATTTGTGCTCCCCGTTTCTTGGCTTCCCTTCACTTTTTCATGCTGAAGGTGAATAGTGGAGGTCTCGGTGTGTGCAGGATTTGTCACGGTGCTGCCTGGCGCTCGTTCCACCCTTCACAGCCCTAACTGGGGCTTGGGGTTTAGTGGCGTGGGTTTAAATACCTGGTTGAAATAGGAGCTGATAGTCGTCGTCCTGCTGGGAGCAGAGGTCTGGGAGAGCCCAGCGTTGCCCAGTGACGTTTTAGCAAATGGCAGCGGCACATCTTCTGGAAGTGGAACAAATAGTCGTTAAATACAGCTCAGTGCATTCGTTTCGTGACCGGGGTGAAGTCAAAATGGAGTGTTACGGGGTTGCCCTTCCTCGGCGAAGGCAATGGAACGGCAGGCCTGCCAAGCCGTGGGGCTTGAGGGAAGGGGAAGGTTTCACTACAGGCCCCTGAGGCTGCTGCCCGGCAGCTTCTGTCCTCATCATCCTCATCAGCCCCCGGCCCCGGGGCTTGTCTGCTCCAGGTTGGGATGTTGGAGGCGGGTGTGAGCCCGGGGGTGATGCTGGGGAGCCCTGTGGGACCGGGAGCAGGTCCCAGGAGGAAGGAGGAGGCAGAGGATGAACTTCTGTCTCAGGGTCTCCCTGGCCCATGGGCTCTGTGGTCAACGTGGGGGGAAACCTCTTACCCTAAACTGCAAGAAAGGGGAAGGTGGGAGGGCAACACGCACACCTTCAGCCTTGCTTTGGTCAGTGTTCTTCCTTCTCTCTGCTTTTTCCTTCTGGGAGGGGGAGGCAGGAGATGCCCAGCTGTCCGTCTGTCACCCTCTCGTCTGACCCAGCTGTTTGTTTGTGTTTTTTTTTTTTTTTTTTTTTTGTACCCCCAGACAAAGGTGAGAACGGGGAGCCCTACCAGAGGAGGAAGGGTGCGGGGGCCAGCCTGCCAGACGGCCCCCCAACATTCCCCACGGCCAGGGACGGGGCCCCGCCGGCCGGCAGCAGCAGCTGGAGGCGGATTCTGCTGATGATCCTCGCTATAACCATCCACAACGTCCCAGGTAGGTCCTGTCCGTCTGTCCATCCATCCCGGCTCACAGGCAGCCTCTTCCCAGGGTCGGCGCCGTCCCGGGAGGATCGTGCAGGGCTGCCGCCTCCCCTCCCTTCTTCTTTTTCTTGCTGCTCACAGATGGCACTCGCCGAGTGGGTCCCTGGGTGCCTTTTGACAAGGTCTATCACGTCAAATCTTGCTCTCTTGGTAGAGCTGAGCCGTTGGCAGCAAAGCCCCTTATGGGGAGGGGGCTCGGGGGGGAGCCTGGGGGCTCAGACTCGCTGCTGCAGCTTGAACATCTGCAGCCCCACTTGCTATCGCCAGCCTGTCGTGGGCGAAAATTGTAAATCTGAGAGTATATTGAGAAAGATGACACTGTAAAGACAACAAATTCTGGTCTCTCTGTTTTTCTTCTGGTTTGTGTACCAGCAAGAGATGCATTTTAAAGCGCTGCTTCTCCTGGGGTACGTTCTTATTCAGGGGACGGAGTTTGCCAGTATATGGAAAACTGCAGAGCCCCGAGTCTTGGAGGGGGGCTGGACTTGGAGACTACAGAAAAAGATGCGATTAAAAAAAAAAAAAAAAAAAAAAGAGAGAGAGAAATTTGTGACAGCTGAGGACACTCTCCTGTTTTGCAGTTCTTGGTAATGTTGAAAGTAATATAAGGCAGCCTTTTTGCATGCTTGCTTTCCTGGTTTCCTTTCCCCTCCCTCCTCCTCCTTCCCCTCCCCTTTTCTTTCTCCCTTTTTCTGCTCGGTCTCTGCCTGTCTCAGGTCGTGGCCTGGATTGGGGTGGGGGCAGAGGGAATAGGAAAAGCTTTTTCTGCATAACTTTGGATCTGTAAACTTGGGGAAAAAGGCTGAGTGTTGCCTTTGGAGGAGCGGTGGTTTCTGAGCTGGCGCGAACGCGTGGCTCGTTGGCAAGGAGGCAGCTATTGTCAGCCCTGGGAGCTGCTGCAGCACGGGGCTGGCTTCCACCGTCAGAGCCGGGGACGGGGGACCTGCCCTTGCATCATCACGTCTGCTTTTCGCTTTTGAGAGCGACTTTTATCCGATGCCACGGCGTCCGTCTGAAATTCCATCGCTGGCTGGGCTTCCGCTGTGAGGAGGCTCCGCTCTGCGTCTGTAATCACAGATCCTGTCGTTCTCCCCCTGCAAGGGCACCCCAGGATGGAATGGCAGGATAAAAAAAAAAAAAATCAAAGCAAACGCGTAGTGGGTTGTCTCGGCGTTGGAGCTGGGCTGAGCGTGGGCGTTCTTCTCCTCGAGCGCTCGTGAGCTGCCGTCCCTTCCAGCCTTCTGCTGCTTGCTTGTCTCTGGGCAGTAATTGCTTCCTTCTAGCCAGTCATCGCCCTTGGGTGCTCCTGCTCCCGTGAATTTTCCTCTTTTCATCCTTTTTTTTTTTTTTTTTCCTTTAATTATAGGTCAATAACTCAGATGCCTTAGTTCAGCTCTCTGTATTGCTGGGGGAGGCAGACACCTGACAGACGAGGCAAGTAGGGAGCTTTAAATTAGCCACGCATGCAAAAAAAAAAAAAGGAGAAGCATTTCCACCAAGCGAACCATAATGGGATTTCATCCTTCAAACAAAGTGTCAGGGAGCCAGGGTGAAGAGGCGGGAGGTGTGTGCATCTCACTGCCTCGGGCCATGTCAGCTGGGGATTCCTGTCTCTGTCACTGGCAAAAAAATAAAGTTTTGTAGAGGAGTGAGCAAAGCAACAGCTGTAGCAATAGGTTAATGGCAGCACGGCCCTGGGTATCGCAGAGACGCCGGTCTAACCTTTCATTGCTTCTGCAAGAGCACAAAGCTACCCCGGGGTGGTTACAGAGGCTCAGAAATTCTCTCTTCCATCTTAAAGGTCACCATATTAAAGCTTAATAGCCAGAGAGGTGTGTGAGAGCGGTGGCCTGCGGGTGGTCGTGCTGCTCAGCCCCTGCCCGGGGGGCTCTGGCTCACGGTGGGGGTGTCTGTCCCTGCCAAGCCCCGTCCCCAGAGTCCTGCTCTTTTCCAGCTGGCGCGTGGCCTTTCCAGCAGCCCCCCCAGCCCTGTTTTGGGGCTGGGAAGGGGGGGGGGGGTGCGTGGGGGCGTGTGACAGTGCCTCTTTGTGCTCGGTGGGGCCGCTCGCCGACGGCGGTGCCCTGGACCAACATCCTCTTTTCGACGGGGATTTGCCCAAAAGTCATGCGGGACTTTCAAGTCGCGGAGGTGGTTGGACTTGCAGCCCGCGTCGGGCAGCCTGCTCCCCAGAGCCCTGCCGGCTGCCGGCTCCCGGCACCGGTTTGGCCCTCGTAAATAATTCGATTTGTGATTAAAAGGGGAGTTTGCAGCCTGCCCTGCTCATCAGCAGGGCCTCCGGTCTGTCTTGCGTGAAGAAGCAGATGCTGGTCCAGCCTCTCGGTGAGCAGCGGGACGGGGCTTAGCTTTGGCTTATCGCCGAAACCCTTTGGCTCTCCCAGCAAAGTCCCGGCAGCGCCGGCGACGCTTCTCCGATGTGCTGCGGCCCCTGCCTGTGGCGCAGGGTTTGGAAACACTGTAATGCTCTACCTCAATTATCATCCCGGCGAGCGGAAAGGCTGACGCTATAATTAGCGCGGACTCCTGCAGTGTAACGACACCTCGGTTGGCGTGTGGAGCGCCCGGGCTTGATGGGGAGGAGGCGGGAGGTGCTGAGCCGAGAAGTTCGAGGGGCGCTGGGCGCTTCGGCGCGGCTACCAGACGTGGGTTGGTGGCTTAGCCTGGCCCCCCCCCGAGCTTTGCGAAATGGCTCGGCGCTGGCCTACGGCGCCGGTGCCGCGGCCGGCGCTCGCTCTGCTTCCCCGGCGAGCCCGTCACCGGGGCTCCCCAGGGGTTTCTGGCCTTCCCCCTTGTCTTCATCACGCTTCGTAAATCTTCACGGCCCTGGGCGGGGGAGTGCGATGCTCCGGTCGCTGCAGCCGGGGTTGGGGGGGCCGGGGGGGGGGGGGGGGTGACCGCTCCTCTCCCTGCTCGCCTTGCTGGATCTCTGCTCTGCCCCAGCGCCTCGGGCAGGGCTGGAGGTGATCTGCTCCTCTGAAATTTGTGGAGAGCTTCACATCGGAGCCCAAACTCCACCAAGTCCCTCCGTCTGGTGGTAAAACCCTGGCAGGGAGCGCGCCCAGCCCTGTTCTCCTCCCCCACTGCTGGGGAACGGGCTCCCTCTTTTATTGCCAGCAGAGAACAGTTGTATTTACTTTGAGCCCCATTTAGGGATGAACACGTTCTGGTCTTGGCAGTGCATCTGTCTTTGGTTTCAGGCAAACGTGCTGGAAGCCGGTTAATATGTGGGTGAGATAATTGAATGTAAAGACCAGCCTTTTGCATTGAGTTCATATTTAGTGGGCTCTGCCGGCAAGCAAAAGGTTTGTTAATTTGTTCCAAAGCTGGGGCTGGCAACGTAAAGAATAAATTGATAATGACAGGAGATGCCAAACTGCAGACTATTCCTGCTAATTAATATTCATATATGCTGGGTTTAGTGGAACATTAATTATGTATTTAATCAAGCCCTGTTTATTCTGGTTTATCTTTGTACCTTGGGTGGCTGTTATGCTGAAGACTTCAGATTAATTAAAATGTTACTGGTGTATCACAAATAACAATTAGCGAGGTGTGAGTGGAACCGCCTTTCTCTTTGGGCTCGTTTGGGAGGGAGGAGGAGGAGGAGGGCCCGGTAGGACGGAGCTGGTGGGTCCGTGGGTCTGTTGCTGGCCCCCCGAGGGTGATGCTCTGCTCGGAGCCGTGGTGCAGGCAGGGATGTCCCTGCTGTGTGAGACTGGGGGGCTCCTCTGGTGTCGGGGTGCTGCAGGAGCCCCTAACGCTCGCACCGCTCTAGGCGAGGTGGAGGATGGGACCAAGGCCGTGTTCTGCGACCGTCTTCGTGCCCTGGGGCTCGCCCCGGAGTCACGGTGCTCACAGGGGTGTCACGGAGGGGGGGGGGGGGTGTCTGCGCCTGCCTGGGACCCTTGATGGTTTAACCAGAGCCTCAGTTATTTTCTGGTGGGCGTCCGTATGTGGCAGGGGTATGGGGGAAGGAGGGTTGCAGATGTCGGGCTGTGGTGGTGCCCTGGGAAATGCGGGTTTCTCCTCCGCAAAAGCCGCTCAGCCGGTGGCAGGCACCTGGCTGGGGTCCCGCTGGCTGCGGGGACCGCGATGCCCCATCCCTCCGTCACCCCGAGGCACGTCCCCACCCACGCACCCTCCTTCGCTGCTGTTCGCTCCCGGGAGAGGCAGCGGGGCTGATGCCCCGGTCTGGTTGCTGGCAGGCACGAGGTGATGCTTCCAGCCACCCCAACGTTGCCAAGGAAACCTGAATTTTCTTTTTTTTTTTGAGATGCTTTGGGGCCGGAGCGGTGGGCAGAGCGGGGTGGCCCCATCCCCAGGAGCTGCGTGCCGTCCTCTTTGCTCTGGCCCTTTCCTTCCTAAAAGAAAATATCTTCCTTTTCCATATTCAGCCCTATCGCTCCGTGTTTGTTCCCTGATTCGATTTCTGTGATATTCCTGCCTGAAGTGTCACTGTTAAGCAGAGGTGTCTGGGAGGGAGCAAATGGCACACGGCAGCGTCACCGCGACGTGCACAGAGCCTCTGGGTCCCGGTGTGAGGTGGCACTGATGTCCCCCGCTCACTCCCCAAATCTCACATGACTCCACCTGAGGTTTTCTCCCAGTTCCCATTGGTAGAAACTGTCCTTGGTTGAGTGAGTGGTGGAGTTTTTTTGGTGGCAGGGGAGGGGGCTATCGGGGCGGCCCCCTGTGAGAAGCTTCTCAAAGCTCCCCCAGCTCCACGTCAGCTCCACTTCTGTTTGGGAAATTGAGCCAATCGGCTGCGCCTCTGCGATAACGTATTTAAGAAGGGACGTGGTGACGGTCAGGGGGACTTGTGAGGAGGAGTTGCTGCAGCTGCATGAACACCAAGGTCAGTGGAGGAACGGAGGAAGAAAGGAGGGGGGAGGTGTGCCGGAGCAGAGACCCCCCTGTATCCTGTGGGGAGACAGC